ATAGAAGATGAAAAGAAAACTCAGATCTCACAGAGAACTGACACTGAAGATCATGAGCTTCTTGTATCATATCTTACTATTATTGAATTGATAAAGAATGAAATCATCTACAATCTTTCAATCTGACTACTTTTGAAATTCATTGATAAGTTATAGAAGAGGAACATCTTTACTGCAGCTTAAATTCAGAAGTTGAAGAAGAAAGAATCTGGTTTGAACTTGAAAGAGACAGACTCTGAGTGAGATGATACTGCTAAGAAATCAAGTCACTAGTAACTAGAAGAATGTGAACTTCTACTGCTGAATGATTCAGTCTTCATCTCTTATAGCAGAGCAGTGTGTCAGAAGTTATTAAGAATTCATTATAATGATTCTCATACAGGACACTTCAGGCTAGAGAAGACTGAGAAGCTTCTAAAACATAAATATATTTAAGACAAGCTCTGAGCAGATGTCAAAGAGTATATTAAGACTTATAATATCTGTCAAAGAATAAAGATTCTGTGATATAAGTAATACAGTGAGTTGACATCACTATCTGTCTTAAAGAGCTCATAACAGAATCTATTAATGAATTTCATAGTTGACCTGCTGAAGTCAACAAGAGTCAAAGAATATGACTTAATTTTAATTATTATTAACTGTTTCATAAAGATAATCAAATATATCTCTACTTATAAAAAGATTAAAGCCTCTGAATTGACTGACCTGTTTTTAGATATCATTATTCATGATCACAGTACTCTGAAATTATTAATAACAGATTGAGAATTCCTCTTCATCAGTAAATACTAATCAGCTTTTTACTATCATCTTATAATAAGGCATCTTCTCAGTATCACATTTCATTCACAGACAGATGATCAGACTGAACACTAGAATCAGACACTAGAACAGCATCTTTAAGTGTTCTATTTATATTATCAGAATGATTAGCTTAAACATCTTCTAACTGCTGAATTCATATCTAATAATGCAAAGAATGTAATCTTAAAGATATCTCTCTTCTATACTTATTATGAATATAATTCTTCATTACTCAGTGACATCACAGATAACATTTCAAAGAGAGAGATAAACAGTTAGAATATTAAACAGATACAGAGAACAGAGTATCTCTCAGTATTAGAAGTAAAAGTAAGATTAAAACTTTTGAATAAAATTCATGAAAAGATGATGAAAAGCATCTATCATACTCAGAAGTAGTAGATAAAATACTATAATTGAAAACATCTTTCAATGAAGTTCTTGATAGAGGATTAAGTACTACTTTCAGCAAAGAATATCAAGATAATAAAACTATATAAGAAGCTCAGTAAGTGATGACTAGAATCTTTCTCAGTAATAAGAGTAATGAATAAGCAGATATATAAGTTGAAATTACTCACAGAATTGAAATCAATTCATTCTGTTTTTCATATTTTCTATTTAAAGCTCTATAAGTAACATCTCAGAGCAGAGTCATCTTGACTGAATAATATTAAGATTGAGAGTGATACTGAATATCTTATAAAGAAAATATTGAATAAATGAATATATTATAATAAGCTTCAATATCTCATTAAATGAGAAGATTATTCATTATCAGAATATTTATGAGAATCACTTGAGTATTTGAAAAATACTGAGAAAGAGATTGTAAGCTATGAGACAGCTAGTAGAGACTGTTCTATTATATATCAGAGATATTGAATAAGAAATACTGCTTGAGACTTCTCATTTTTTCTCAAAGAGTTTTTTTAGAGATGATCTTACAGTAATAAGCTGACATCTTATGAGCTCTGTAGCACTCTTCTTCTATTTTCTCTCAAAGGATTTTTTAGAAGTTTAATAAGACTATACAAGTGTAAAATTCCTGAAGCAGTTAGAGAAAAGAGATATTTGAAATCAATAAAAAGATTAATATTATTAACTCACAGATCACTACTATTCTAATGAGGTCACAGCCTGCTGAAAAAGTAAAAAGAAGAAATCTCAGAGCCTACTCATTAATAACTACATTCTCACTAAACTCATTCTTCACTGTTGAAGTCTCTAGCACTGACACTTTTATCTGCTGAGAAGTTAGCACTGCAGCACTGCAGAGAAGCATGCTGCAGAAGAGCATGCATGCTGTAGAAGAGTATGAGAGATGCTGAAATTATCAACTTATCAACTTATAAAGCATCTCAGTCATCTGCTTCAACTGAAGTGAGATTCTCTTCAATCAGTAATTAATCTCTGCAGCACTTCTAACAGTGATGCTGACTGACTTCTTCTTAGAGTCAGCTATTCTGAGATGTTTTTTCATCTCAGAGATTCACACTTTCATCTTCTTTTATAGATGAGTAAGAGAAATCTCTTCAGTCTTGACAGAATCTGTCAATACTTAAAGCTCTGAGACTCTCACTCTGTACTACTTGAGTATCTGAGCTTCTTGTCAGAGCTGATACAATATCTTTCTGTGAGATAATACTTACAGAGAGACAGAAGTCATTGTTACAGATACAATGAAAATAACAGAAGTGAAAGAAGAAACAGATGTATAAAATCCTCCTCTTCTTCAGCTGCTTAGCACAGCACAGATAAGTGACAGTGCTGGTCAGAGACTGCATCAGAGCCTTCTCACAGAGAGAAGATAAAGAAATCACAGGACTCTACAGACTCAACTCAGCAGCATTCTGAGCAGGGCTCAGACATGCCACAGAAGAGGAACTACAGATTGAGCTTCTCAGAGCCACTGTCCCCAGAATCAAGCTCTTCTCAGAGTCCTCTCTGAATGATCACACAGGGTCATACATCACTGTGTTGGTTGAGGGGGGGGGCGGCATCACAACAGCGGCAGAGGGGGCAGGGAATGAACCAGACACAGACAAACCAGCCAGCAGAAGGAACAACACCTCACTGCAAGGCACAGCTACTACCGCCGCAGCCGCAAGAGATGCAGGAGAAGGAGGAGATGTGACAATGAGAGTGATGCTCCCGCAGCTCATTGACACTGCTGTCTCTGTCTCCAACCTGGCTTTCTTGACAGTCATGGAGGCTGCAGCTGCACCACAAAGACATTTAATCACTAGAAAACATCAGAATAAGTCCTTTATTGTCTTCTAAGAATGATACTCTCATGCACTCACTGTTGCAATTGAGAGAGAGAAGAAGAAAAATATGTCACAGAGAGAGAGAATCTTTTCAAAAAATCCTGTCACTACTGTTAGCTTTGTCTCTAAAACACACCACTTTTACAGAGAATTTCATATATAGAACAGAATATGATGAGAGATCTGCAAGTCACTTATTAACTACATTTTTCATATTTTAAATTGATATATAAGGAACTCACTTATCATGCATTTGATTTGAATAAAGATGAGAAAAGAAAGATCTACACAGTTAGTAGAAAAACTCATCTATTTCTTTATATCATGTGCAGTATACACACTGTTAATCTATTAATAACTATTACTATATAACAAAGATAACTCTCAATTCAGTAATCTTGAGAATATTGAGACTATACTCTTAAAGAGAAGAGCATTATCACATTCTCAGCTGTGTTAAGACCTTGCTACAGTTTCACACAGCTCATTGCTTTTATATAGATAATTTCATCTTATCTGAACTAGTTTTCAATCACTCTATGATATCATTCAGATATATTATAGAAAGATCTGATTGATAAATATAAGAATCTCACTTCTATATAAGATCAGCAGATTACTCTTTCTTGACAGTGAGATGCTACTGAGGTATCACTCTGACTACTCTCACTTATAGAATAAGAGAAGAGTATCTGCTCATTGTCTATATAGAATAGTTAGATGCTGACTTCTTATCAAAGAAGTCAGTAATTCATTTTTCTTCTACTGAAATATATATGAGAGTTACTGCATTCTTTATACAATCTTCTTAGTATACTAAGTATCATATCTGTGATATTCTCACAATAACTCTGTAGTCTACAAGCTCACTATTCAAGCAAGATAGTCAAGCTCACTTATACAGCTTCTCAAACAACTATCTCTATGTGACACCGCTGACTAGCCACTGCTTCGGTTTCATCATGTTACACCTATTACAGTTGATGCACACTTTATATTAATATTGATCAGTGACTTCTTTGAGAGTGATCTCAGAGACTCAGAAGCCTGTTTAAACAGCAGAAACTCTTGCTTATACATAGACATTTAAATCTATTCAGTTCATGGCATCTGCATCATTACTGTTCTTTGACATGAGTGTATAAGTCACTGAGATGTAACATCTTCTGTCACTGTTCTGTATACTCTTGAGCTTGATAAGATAGTCATTCAATATTCAGAGCTGTGTGTAGAAGTCTTCATAAGTCTAGTCTTTGTCTATGCTTATAAGAGTCTGTAAGAGTTTGAAAGTCAATATCTTCTTAAGCATGCTAATCTTTATTCAATTCTTTCAAGATTAATCACCTGCTTCTAGAATCTTGATGTTGAAGTCAGAAATGAATGTTGTAAGAGAAGTGTTCCTCTGTCAGACACTCTGTAATCAATCTAATACTTTCTGTTATATAACAGTGTCTCAGAACAGAATATCAAGATGTTTCATAATATTGTCAGACATTCACAATACTGATTCACATACTTTCATCTATGAATGAAACTTCTGTTTTATGTGATTCTTCAATCATTCATTGATATATCAATCTTGATTAGTTAATGAACTGATGGCATCTTCATCTACACTCAGTTTCACAAGCATTTTCATTCTCCATGAGTGAGTAGAGAGTGAGACTGAAAGTATTAAAATATGTGAAAGCATCTAAGCATTCTTTCAGTGCTTTTGTATTCAATTCTGTAGATGTTGAAATCACATGAGTTAATTGTTGAATCTTTTTGTATTAGAGTTGTTAAGTTGCATGCATATCAGCTATTTATTACTGTTGTAATTTCAACATTGCTCAGAACCACTGTGGTATCACTTCTATACTTGTGTTCAAAGGTTCTCTCATATTATCATTAAATATGATTATATCAATTATCAGATATATGATATCTGTGAAAGTGTAATTATATGAATATCTCATATGTCTGAGATGTCAGAACTCTCAGATCTTTCACTGATATTCTCTTATAAGATCTTACTCTCTTCATAAGATCTTATTGCAGAGTCAGAGTGACTGATGAGCAAGCTTCTATCTAGAAACTCAGTGTCTGATTAACTGTTTGACTGTTTCTCTATTTCTTACACATTGTTATGTGTTCAGATATCTCAATGAATAATTATTTCTAATAAGAAGATGATGAACATTTTTCTAGTATAAGAGACCTACACTGAATAGATTGATATAATATTGATAGGTCTTATATAACAAAGAGAAAAATGTTAGAGAAGGAAAGAAAGAGAAAGTGTAGAAATCAGCAATCAGAGTGGATATTTATACACATATATGATGATGTATGCAGTGAAGCTTCAGGGCGGAAGAATCTATATGTGTTTGTAGCGGCCGAGAATCGGTGATCGAGAATGGCCGAGAATCAGAGCGTACATGTTCAAGAGTGAAGTGGAAGAATCTATGAAGCGGAGTGGAAGAATCTATGAAGTGTAATGAAATAGTCTATATAATTGATCGGGCGCAGCCCGCCACAATCATGAATACATGCAGAAAACAGATCTTTATTACTAGAGAGAATGATTACAGCAATTCTCTGTTTTTATATTATAAAGATAAGTTATTCTTATTTCTTTCTTCTGTCTTTTCTCTTCTTCTTCAACTCATTACTAATTTTAAGCTGGTATGAAAACTATTAAAACACTCTTAGAAACTCTCAAAGTATAGACTAATCAAATTTCAAATTCACAAGAATCAAATTATATTCAATAATACTAATTATTTATTTTCTCTTAATAAAACAACAGTTACATCTTCTCTTCCTCTCTTTCAAATAAAACATGACTCATGAAAAGTGAGTATCATGTCAGACTATAATAATTAACACAGCTCTAGCACACAGAGCTATATATATACAGTGTGTACTGAACTGAGAGACTGTGTAAGTTATAAAGTGATAACAGCATCTCAAGAAGAGTTATGCAGCATGAGAAAGCTGTAACTCTCAGTTATATACACAGAGAATGAATTACTGCAGTAAGTGTATATACATTGTATAAAAGTAATGCTTTTTAATAATACTCAGTCTCTGACATTATGAAAATAGAGTCTCTTTGTGAGATTTATTTTTATCAAAGTTGAGAGATTTTATATTCTTTAAGACTATCTTTACATATCTTGTCTATGAAATTGATAAAGAAAATTATCAATTTCAGTATTCTATTCTTATTATTATTCAAGTGATAGTAGAGTTCACTCTGATCACATCTTTTAAGTGAATATTTTCTACTTATTCACATTTATACAGATATATTCTGATTATTTATTAGATGATATTAAAATAATAACTTATTACAGCTGTGTTACTCTCACTCTGAGAGATACACAGTTAATAATGAACATTGCAAAGACTCTGAAAAGTGAGTATTTTAAGAATACTGCAGCTCTGCTATCTTGATTATTATTATTTTTTTATTTTTTTATTTTTTTTTCATTGTGATTTTTTCTTGCTTTTGTTTTGTTTTTTGTTTTTTTATTGATTTTTTATATTTTATATTTTTTTTATAATTAAAATTATATAAATTATGATCTGTATTTAGAAAAGAAATAATATTTGATAATACTCTTTATTAAATTTTCAACAAATAAGCACTATATTATAATATTATGTAAGTGAGAAATGATTTCATAATCTTATTTAATACTATTCTCAATAATGAGATCAGAATTAAAATATAACTAAGAATTTAAATATATTCTTTATATAAGACTAGATTTTTATTTAAAAAGTGAATCTGAGATCTTTAATATTTGAGATAATATGATTTGAAATCAATGTGATGAATATAAATTATAATCAGAAGTAATACTTTTAGATAATATAATAACTGTAAAGTTTGATTCTGATCTCAGACACAGTTACACGGTCAGTCTAGTCAGAAGTCAGTTAAGAAGAAAATGAATTCATGATAATGCAGTGAAACAAGCTTGTATGAAAGATATTATAAATTTCTGATAATGTATTAAGATAGTAGTTATGACTGTTTAAAACTTCTATCACTTCATACTTGACATAGTAATAATTCAGTGTATGAGATGAGTATATGATCTGTATATTCTTAAGATCCAATCATATCAAGTCTTCTATCTTATATTGTTCAGTGAGATCTTAATGAACATTAATTCAGTTCTCTTAATCTTATTTAGCACTTGTCATAAAGACCTCTACTCAGTGATAAGTATCTCAGAGCTTTATTACTATATTATCAGTAATTTAAATTGAACTGTGAGAGTTTGATGTGAACTGTGTAATCTCTAGAAGATTTAACACTTTTATATAATAACTGTGTATAAGAAAGAACAGGCTTACATCTATTGAAATAGTATCTGAGTTATTGATAGCAATCTCTGTATGTAGAAGAAGATTATATCAAACATCTTATAAGTAATTACAGAACTTATAAAGATAATTCTTTACAGTCTGAAAGTATCTGTTCTGATACATCATTGATCTCAGAGTGATAAGCAGTTGATAAATAATATATAATTTTAAGAACTTGATAGATTCTTATTCAAAGAATACTCATGAATTGACAGTCATAATCTGATACTATAGATCTCAGTAATTTATATATCTGATAGAATAAGCTCTGTAGAAAGACTTCAGTAACTTATTCAGTATTTATCTTATTATAAGATTTCAATATTACATCTTTACTTAATCAGTTAATAATAATTAAAATATTCTTACAACTCTTACTCTCAGAGAGATTAATAGTGAAGTCAATTACTATATCTTACTAGATTCTATTAAAGATATTGAGTAATTTCAGTAAGTCTTCTCTATGATTCTTTCATAAGATAATAGAAGAATAATAGTTATAGTTTCAGATGAAATATCTGATACTGTTTAATATCTCAGAAAAGTAGAACTCTCAAGAGATTATTTAATACAGTTACTTATAATCTGAATAGTCAGTAATACACAAATTATGCATCTCTTGCATTATTCAGATATGTAAGAATTTGA